TGAAATTTACCCGGGTTTCACACGAGTTCCTTTAGAACACAACTTTCTATCACTATAAATAAAGGCCTTTGAGTACCAGGTAAGGACATTCAATCTTAACCTATTCACTACATATTATTTTCAACTATCGGATAACTTAGGTTTTTCAAAACTTCCTTACCGTCATCTCTGTCCGTACAAGGTGGTGACTCCTTGTGTAGTGATTAGAAATAAGTCAAGAGTCAGTTGCCATAACATTAACCCAATCTCCAATAGTTACACTAGGCCTCTGCCTATAAAAACCAGTCATACTCCATGCATAGGGTCGGCAATTACACTACCTTGTTTTTTGTTCTCTTACTTTATCTCTTTCTGTCACTTTTGCTTTCCTTATATTTTGGTTGTTTATGTGCTTCCACAAGAAATAGGAGTATCATGTTTTACTATTATTAAGACTACATCAAAGTCAGAAATTGTATATCTTTTTATCAACTATAACAAATTATGTTGGCCAATGCTAGGTTCAGCCAGAAACCCCCCAATCCAGTTGTCAAGTATACACAGCAGCAGGTATGAGATATTGGCAACTTAAGCAAAAGCCAGATAAATCTAGATAAATTTTTTATTTCGTTACGGAAATCTCCACACAATTCGATTTATCGACCAACTTATAATTTTTTATAAGTTTCCACACGACCAACGCAGAACAAGGAGAGAGAAAAATAAAAGAATCAAGGGACAAAGAAATTCAGAAAACAATTACTAAAAATCTTGCCTGACATTCATTATTAATGGCATTTGCCTGCCATCAGACATAATGAAATAGCTCTAGAACAGCAAGCACATCTCATCTTTCCAGGGAATTACATCAAGACAAAAACCAACGAGGGACTTATTAAACCCAAAAACCTGTGTTTAGAACTCAACAGTGTCAACTTTTGGCATAAATATGTTGAAATTTTATTTAGTAGCAGAATTTTTCCTGTTTTCCCCAGCATAAAGCTTAAAGCAGCGATCCATGAAAACGCTTGCCAAATAATCTCAATGCCTTCTGGTTAGACAACTCAGTTTCCTTTTCCATGGACTACCTAACCTTATGTTCTACAATTCAACCATTCAATAATGTCCTTCAAAATTTCTCCTCGTTCAGGATCAAAGAGCAGATCATGTAACAACCCTTCATACAGTTTGATGGTTTTGTCAGTTGAGGAGGCCTCTTCGTAGAGTTTTTGAGAAGCTTCTGGTTCAGTTACTGTATCAGTAGAGCCATGGAGAACTAGGAACCGTACTTTCACTTTGCTCAGGTTCTGTTGCAAGTAAGATGCAATTCGAAGTATCTCATAACCAATTCTCACTCTGATGGATCCAGTGTACACCAAGGGGTCTGAATACTTTGCCAGGAGTGCCTCTGGGCCCCGAGAAACATCTTGTTCGCAGTACTGAATTGGTATCTTGGCAACAAGAAGGAAAAAACAGGGGCTAGTGCCTGGCATCAAGGTAAATGAACTTTCAAAACACAATCTCCTCTAATAACAAAAAAATGAATTTTTTGGAATCGCTAGATTAGAAATATTATTTTTGTTTAGAATTTCAAACAGTCAGGGTCATATAAAGGGTTTTCTTACTGCAAAAATTGGATGCGATGGCTGAACTCCTACAGCAAGTGAAGTCAGCACAACACCTGCTATGCAAGCTTCTACCTTTGGGTCAAGTACAACCTACAGGAATTCATGAGNTTGGATGCGATGGCTGAACTCCTACAGCAAGTGAAGTCAGCACAACACCTGCTATGCAAGCTTCTACCTTTGGGTCAAGTACAACCTACAGGAATTAATGAGACTCAATACTAGAAATTGAAAACTCACACACTTTAGATGTATGTATATCAAGTTTGGCTTCAAAAAGTGAAGAAATGATTCAGGAAAATATCACATTAAAGTAGCCTCACCTTGAGGACAATGGTTGCACCAGTGGAATGTCCAAAGCAAAAACATGGAAGCCTTGGATTATCAGCTATAACCTTCCGAAGAAGTGATTTCTATATTGTAAAAGACACATTAGTGGATTCACTCAACATACACATAGTACCAAGTAACTTCTACTCTTGTGAATTCACCCCAAAGCATACCATATCAGCAACGGCATCATCCAAAGAATGAACATAGGCATGCAACCCATCACTTCTGCCATGGCCTACAGAAAGAGGAAAATTTGATAAAAATAAGTCAAATGTTTGACTGATAAACAAATAAGCAAGGGATATGAACAAAAATAACTAGATATGAGAACCACCAGTACAAGCAGTTACAGAACCTTGTTCTCTTGCTACAAATAAGCTGCCTACATCTACATCCTTTAAACCCAAGTTCTCATAAGAAAGGATGGGGTGGAGAGAGAAAGAGAGAGAGAGAGAGAGTTGAACACAAAGCCTTACACCCAGTGAAGCAACTAAAAAAAGGGATCAGAAGATACAGAGGGTNAGAAGAAAACAAACCTTCTCTAGTTTTAAAAATGTTATTCCTATCTCCTACTAATTAGAGTGTCCAAAGTCAAAACCTAAGACAAACAACAAAGACTTAACCAATCAGGCTTATAGTAAATACATTAAGAAACTTTGGATGGCTCTATCGCCTCCATTTGTCCTTCATTTAATATTTTCTGCTTTTTCCTGAGAAAGGAAAAGATGCAACCACAAACTACAATTACCAAACGAGTTCCCTAAATAACTAACTCTGAAACAAAGGATAAGACAAGAAATAACAATAATAATAGAAAATGCATTAGACAACTATTCATTGAGGTTTGTTATTTTTAAGAATGAAATACATNGCATGCAACCCATCACTTCTGCCATGGCCTACAGAAAGAGGAAAATTTGATAAAAATAAGTCAAATGTTTGACTGATAAACAAATAAGCAAGGGATATGAACAAAAATAACTAGATATGAGAACCACCAGTACAAGCAGTTACAGAACCTTGTTCTCTTGCTACAAATAAGCTGCCTACATCTACATCCTTTAAACCCAAGTTCTCATAAGAAAGGATGGGGTGGAGAGAGAAAGAGAGAGAGAGAGAGAGTTGAACACAAAGCCTTACACCCAGTGAAGCAACTAAAAAAAGGGATCAGAAGATACAGAGGGCAACACCCAGTATATTTACGGGAGGAACCTAGTGACAGACAAGTTTAAATCTCTATTGCAAGTAAACACAGAAAGATCAAACCTTAAAGCAATTCAAGATCTAATGTTGGAAAAAAGAGTGACTGTAGATGCATGCCTGTAGCCAGGAGGCACATTGTGTACCAAAAGAATGTTCTGTTTCAAAGACCATAGTCAGCATTTTCTAAAAAACTTCATTCCTAGGAAGGGCTCAAAGAGTGGCTTGGTTTTCAAGACAACGAAAAGATTAGATTCCTAGAGAGACCTCACAATTTTGGGCTTCTGCTCCTTCAACTTGAAGAAGAGAGAGAGAGAGAAAGTTTTAAGGTTCTAGCTTTTTCGAAAAGAATGCATCCTCCCTTCACCATTCTTATATGCACAAGGCTAGATGCAAAGACTCAAATGATAAGCTTACTTATTAGGAGGAGCTTCATATGTTACTTTTTTGGCACCAATGGTCATCTGAATTGGAATAAATGCAATCCCCGCAACAACCAAATATAGATGCATCATTGAAGAACTGTGATATCTAGACTCCAAAATCGTAAATACATTAATAAGGCAACCGTCTTCGAAGAAATATCAGATAACTGCATGGCACCGACACAAATTTTAACTGGGAAAAAAGAAAGAAAAACCAACAAGAAAACTCATTAAATCTGGATACAAGGAAGTTCACAGAGTTAGATTATACTTCAGCCTAGACATCTACTCAGCGTAAACTAGATTATAGAAGCCCCTATACATGCTTTTTGAAGCTTGAAAACATGGATTATTACTCACTGTCACTGAGAATCAAAATGAACTCCTTTCCTTTGAGTGGTCGACTTTAACAGAAATTTATGATGCCAAGAGGAATTGTCATTTGTAATAAGGAAGTTGATAAGCAAGAATTACAGGAGGCTAGACCAGCCATTTCAAGGTCCATTTAAATGGCACTTGTATAAGGGCAACCTAGTGCGTGAGGATCCTGCCACTACAGAATCTAGCGAGGGTCATATGTATGAAGCCTTATCCTGTTCATACAACCTTGAAGGTACTTATATTTTAAAAAAAGAAACAGAAAAAGATATCCACAAAGAAGGTTTACCATTTATGTCTATAAAATCAAGTTACAACAAATAAAACTCTTATAAGGCTATCCGGCTAGTATACACCCTCCTTTTGTTCTAATAAGTATTAGAGAAAAAGTACATGAAAGATAACAATATGTACAGCTAAAAGGGGCATACCAAAGCAAATACAACCTGCTAACAGCAAGACTAGGATGGCACCCCAAGAAAAAATGCATTGGAGTCCACACTCAAAGACAAGGCACTTGAAGAAAACCCTTAGGTTTGAGAATTGCAAGTGTTGACTCATTCCAAGATGTACAATTTTGTGAGCATTTCATCTTTGAAAAGAAACATATGGAATTCGAGATCGAAAAGTCTCCCTCCCTCCCTCCCTTCCCCTCTCTCTCTCTCTCTCTCTCATGCACACACACATTGGGAGAAGAAAACAAACCTTCTCTAGTTTTAAAAATGTTATTCCTATCTCCTACTAATTAGAGTGTCCAAAGTCAAAACCTAAGACAAACAACAAAGACTTAACCAATCAGGCTTATAGTAAATACATTAAGAAACTTTGGATGGCTCTATCGCCTCCATTTGTCCTTCATTTAATATTTTCTGCTTTTTCCTGAGAAAGGAAAAGATGCAACCTCAAACTACAATTACCAAACGAGTTCCCTAAATAACTAACTCTGAAACAAAGGATAAGACAAGAAATAACAATAATAATAGAAAATGCATTAGACAACTATTCATTGAGGTTTGTTATTTTTAAGAATGAAATACATAACTTCAGTTGCTTATAATATAGGGATTAAAAAAATTACTGAGATTCCAATCAGGCTATATTTCTATTGCCAATACCAGTATAACATTCCAGAATCACATAGATAAAATAAGCACCCACGAATTTATTCACATGTTGCACAATTTCCAAGGCTATCAAGATCAGACTACTTGCAGCTTATCAGTGTAGTTCAGTAGACCAACTCGACCCTAGGCCTTAAAGAGTTAATTACAATCTTAGGAATACAAGATGACTTCATTTGTTTAACTTTTTTAATGAGACATGCTACTGATCATTCTGAGGATTCTGATAGTTTGTCATCTCATGTTTCTAGTATTTCAAATACCTCTTCTCATGTTCTTACCCCGTTACCTTTACATTATACTTGACCAATTCGTACTGATCATTCTGCAGGTACTGACACTTTACTCTCTGGCACACCTGAAACTACCTCTTCTCCTATGGTCCCTGAAGCTTCATCTGAGATTGTGGATCCACCTCTACGTCAATCCATATGCATTCGTAAGTCCACAAAATTACCAGATTTTGCTTATTCTTGTTATTCTTCATCTTTTACTTCCTTTTTAGCTTCTATTCATTGTCTCTCTGAGCCTTCTTCCTATAAAGAGGCAATTCTTGATCCTCTTTGGCAGCAAGCTATGGATGAGAAACTTTCTGCTTTGCAAAAGACAGGTACTTGAGATTTGGTTCCTCTACCTCCTGGTAAGAGTGTTGTTGGTTGTCGTTGGGTTTATAAGATCAAGACTAATTATGATGGATTTGTTGAGAAATACAAAGCTAGGTTGGTTGCAAAAGGGTACTCTCAATAGTATGGTATGAATTATAAGGAGACATTTGCTCCTGTTACAAAAATGACAACTATTCGTACTCTTATTACAGTTGCTTCAGTTCGTCAGTGGCATATCTCTCAACTTGATGTTAAAAATGCCTTCTTGAATGGAGATCTTCAAGAAGAAGTTTATATGGCGCCCCCTCCTGGTATTTCACATGATTCTGGGTATGTTTGCAAACTCAAGAAAGCATTATATGGTCTCAAACAAGCACCTCGTGCTTGGTTTGAGAAATTTTTTGTTGTGATCTGTTCCCTTGGATTTGCTTTCTAATAGTCATGATTCTGCTCTTTTTGTTAAGTGCACTGATGCAGGTCGTATCATTCTGTCTTTATATGTTGATGACATGATTATTACTAGTGATGATATTGACGGTATTTTAGTTTTGAAGACAGAGTTATCTAGACAGTTTAAAATGAAGGATTTGGGTTCTCTACGATATTTCTTGGGTATTGAGGTAGCCTACTCACCTAGAGGTTATCTTCTTTCTCAGTCGAAATATGTTGCAGATATTCTTGAGCGAGCTAGACTTACTGATAATAAGACTGTAGATACTCCCATTGAGGTTAACACAAAGTATTCTTCTTCTGATGGTTTACCTTTGTCAGATCCTACTTTATACCGTACTATTGTTGGGAGCTTGGTATATCTCACTATTACTCGTTCAGATATTGCATATGATGTTCATGTTGTTAGTTACNTACTTGAGATTTGGTTCCTCTACCTCCTGGTAAGAGTGTTGTTGGTTGTCGTTGGGTTTATAAGATCAAGACTAATTATGATGGATTTGTTGAGAAATACAAAGCTAGGTTGGTTGCAAAAGGGTACTCTCAATAGTATGGTATGAATTATAAGGAGACATTTGCTCCTGTTACAAAAATGACAACTATTCGTACTCTTATTACAGTTGCTTCAGTTCGTCAGTGGCATATCTCTCAACTTGATGTTAAAAATGCCTTCTTGAATGGAGATCTTCAAGAAGAAGTTTATATGGCGCCCCCTCCTGGTATTTCACATGATTCTGGGTATGTTTGCAAACTCAAGAAAGCATTATATGGTCTCAAACAAGCACCTCGTGCTTGGTTTGAGAAATTTTTTGTTGTGATCTGTTCCCTTGGATTTGCTTTCTAATAGTCATGATTCTGCTCTTTTTGTTAAGTGCACTGATGCAGGTCGTATCATTCTGTCTTTATATGTTGATGACATGATTATTACTAGTGATGATATTGACGGTATTTTAGTTTTGAAGACAGAGTTATCTAGACAGTTTAAAATGAAGGATTTGGGTTCTCTACGATATTTCTTGGGTATTGAGGTAGCCTACTCACCTAGAGGTTATCTTCTTTCTCAGTCGAAATATGTTGCAGATATTCTTGAGCGAGCTAGACTTACTGATAATAAGACTGTAGATACTCCCATTGAGGTTAACACAAAGTATTCTTCTTCTGATGGTTTACCTTTGTCAGATCCTACTTTATACCGTACTATTGTTGGGAGCTTGGTATATCTCACTATTACTCGTTCAGATATTGCATATGATGTTCATGTTGTTAGTTACTTTGTTGCTTCTCCTACTACAGTTCATTGGGCAGCTGTTCTTCGTATTTTGCGGTATCTTCGGGGGTATAGTCTTTCAAAGTCTTTAACTTTTATCCACCTCTCCCTTGGAGCTGTGTGCATACTCTGATGCTAATCATGGCAGTGATCCCATAGATCGCAAGTCTGTTACTAGTTTTCTATATCTTTTTGGGTGATTCTCTTATTTCTTANTTCAAGAAGAAGTTTATATGGCGCCCCCTCCTGGTATTTCACATGATTCTGGGTATGTTTGCAAACTCAAGAAAGCATTATATGGTCTCAAACAAGCACCTCGTGCTTGGTTTGAGAAATTTTTTGTTGTGATCTGTTCCCTTGGATTTGCTTTCTAATAGTCATGATTCTGCTCTTTTTGTTAAGTGCACTGATGCAGGTCGTATCATTCTGTCTTTATATGTTGATGACATGATTATTACTAGTGATGATATTGACGGTATTTTAGTTTTGAAGACAGAGTTATCTAGACAGTTTAAAATGAAGGATTTGGGTTCTCTACGATATTTCTTGGGTATTGAGGTAGCCTACTCACCTAGAGGTTATCTTCTTTCTCAGTCGAAATATGTTGCAGATATTCTTGAGCGAGCTAGACTTACTGATAATAAGACTGTAGATACTCCCATTGAGGTTAACACAAAGTATTCTTCTTCTGATGGTTTACCTTTGTCAGATCCTACTTTATACCGTACTATTGTTGGGAGCTTGGTATATCTCACTATTACTCGTTCAGATATTGCATATGATGTTCATGTTGTTAGTTACTTTGTTGCTTCTCCTACTACAGTTCATTGGGCAGCTGTTCTTCGTATTTTGCGGTATCTTCGGGGGTATAGTCTTTCAAAGTCTTTAACTTTTATCCACCTCTCCCTTGGAGCTGTGTGCATACTCTGATGCTAATCATGGCAGTGATCCCATAGATCGCAAGTCTGTTACTAGTTTTCTATATCTTTTTGGGTGATTCTCTTATTTCTTAGAAGAGCAAGAAACAATATATTGTTTCTCAATCTTCAACCGAAGCAGAATATCGTGCTATGACATCTACTACCAAAGAGATTGTTTGGTTACGTTGGTTACTTGCAGATATGGAAGTTTCACTTTGTCATCCCACTCCTATGTATTGTGACAACCAGAGTTCTATTCAGATTGCTCACAACTCAGTTTTTCATGAACGAACTAAGCANATATGGGAGTTTTTCTTTCTCATCTCACTCCTATGTATTGTGACAACCAGAGTTCTATTCAGATTGCTCACAACTCAGTTTTTCATGAACGAACTAAGCACATTGAGATCGATTGTCACCTTACTCGTCATCATCTGAAGCATGGCACCATTACTTTGCCATTTGTTTATTATTCTTTTCAGATTGCAGATTTCTTTATTAATNTAATTGGGGAAAAAGAAAGAAAAACCAACAAGAAAATTCATTAAATCTGGATACAAGGAGTTCACAGAGTTAGATTATACTTCAGCCTAGACATCTACTCAGCGTAAACTAGATTATAGAAGCCCCTATACATGTTTTTTGAAGCTTGAAAACATGGATTATTACTCACTGTCAATCAAAATGAACTCCTTTCCTTTGAATGGTCGACTTTAACAGAAATTTATGATGCCAAGAGGAATTGTCATTTGTAATAAGGAAGTTGATAAGCAAGAATTACAGGAAGCTAGACCACCCATTTCAAGGTCCATNATTTTTAAGAAAATAATAGGTATAAATTAATTTTAAATGATGTAAGCAAAACATTAATTTTAAATTTGGTATAGTGAGATTAATTTTTTGAATACTAGAATTTTATATTTTATTGTGCCTTCACGCACGGGTTATGACTAATTATCATATACACTACAATCGTTACCAAACTAAGCAGTATTATAATAGGAGAGAATGTTCTAACACAAAAGTGTACTATGTGTCTTTAGATGACTCCAAGTCCTTGCCTAAAAATTAGGCACGTTCAAATGACAGAACATATTGTGTAACTACATTATTTTCGCATGGCTTTAGAGTTTAGTAAGTCACTGAGGATTAATCTAGTGATATGCTAGACTATTAAAGCAAAATTACAACCTAATGGACATTTGAGGCATAATGAGAGGTGAAAAATTTAGTGCTAGACTATAGTCCAAAGTTTTTTCCTATAAAATACAAAATCCTTCTACATGATTCTCATCAAAAGCTCGATTTTCATGTGGTTATCCATTAACCCCTTTGCCATTTTACGCTTAATTTTAAATGATGCTCACTGATGTTTATTATTTTTAATGAAAACATAATATCATTTTTAAATGAATAGGATGTGGTCAAATTACGGAAAAAAAATCAAGGTTCAACTACTTTGGCCTGGCTATTCGTAAAATCCACTCATAACTTTGCCCAGGTTTATGCCTAGTCTTGTATGAAAACAATTCTAAACCTCTCCTGTGTTATCAGAACAAGCTTCTGATTCTTTTTTTTTTTGGGTGGGGGGAATGAATGTTAGCAGTTTAGACTTCAAAAGGTCATGAAAGTATCCACACGCAGTGCATGCTAAATAAGGATTAAAATTTAGTTTCGGTGCATTGTTTCGGTCACCTAGAAAACGGAAACGTTTTGACATGTATCCGAAACGTTTCGACCAGTTTTGAAAACAGATAAAAAAAAATAAAATTTAACAATTATTTTTTTAAAATATTGGTTGAAATATACCAAAATATCTTGAAATACTTTGAAACATTTCAAAATAATTATGTAAATTATTAAAATATAACAAAACATTTCGAAACATTATAGAACACTTCGAAGAATTAGAATTTCGATTTCATCACTAATTCGTTTCGATTTTCTTGGAAACGAAAATGTTTCGGATGTTTCGATCATTTCGAAATGATATTTTGATTCTTGATGCTAAATAGTCATGATCCATCATGAAAAATACATTTACTGTTGAAGTCATCCACAGAAGTCAGTTTTTTTTTTTCAGAACACTGAACAGTGACTTGTTAAAATCGTGTGCCAATTGTAGAGTGTCGTCAGGAATAATATCGCACTGCTGCCAACATTATCCCTATGTATACACTTGCACATAGTATAATGACTTCTTCACCAGTGGCATTACATTAGACGAGCATTGTGATGAAAACAAAGGAGTCACGGTCATAAAAGACACATGGGTGTTGTAATTCTCGAAGTGCGGTCCAGCAATGTATGTGCGAATATGCCTTTTAATCTAAGATCTCTGCAATTTCGGAATGCAGCCAATTATGCTCTGTAACAGGTAATTATCAGATGAAGNGACACATGGGTGTTGTAATTCTCGAAGTGCGGTCCAGCAATGTATGTGCGAATATGCGTTTTAATCTAAGATCTCTGCACTTTCGGAATGCAGCCAATTATGCTCTGTAACAGGTAATTATCAGATGAAAACAAAACATTCCAGCATATTTATGGAGCTCACTGAATTTTAGTATTCAGAAACTTAAAAAAAGTCCGATGTTAACAAGACTAATAACATAAAGATTGTCTGTTCATTCTCCATGCCAGATTGAATGAAATTGAGATGTCATAACATTTATTAAAAAAAAGCATAAATGGAAAAAAAAAATCAAAAAGAAACATCCAACAAATGCAAAGTGTGGGAATCTTACTAAAACTAGATATAGAACTAGCCATTGTCATTATAATTTATATGTTAGAGGGGTTGTTTCCAAAACTGAAACCTTCATTTTCATGGGAGGCAACCAAGCTGCAACTCCTAAAAAACGGCATTTATATATAAACACGCCCAAAAGCTGGAGTAATTGTTAGACGCAATCCCTTTGGGTCATTCACTTAATGCATTTGGGACGGGACCAAAAGGACTATGGAAATTCAGGTCATCCACTGATCTAAGAGGGATGGCTATATATACCATTCCTAATTTGTAAATTATGAAACAAAGAATCAATTCGAGAGATCCATGAAAAAGATTTCGGATATCTGGGTTGACAAAGTTTCAATCCAACAAATAGTAATAAGATATGAAAATAAAAATGAAACCAATCTAACACTAAATCAAACCAAACAAAACCTTAAACCAATTATTTGTGCTGGCTAGATATATAATTTTTCATCTTCCCATTCCGTTCTATTAATGCATCAACAAAAATTAAAAACAAAACTAAACATTACCTGATTTTGAATGAAACAGGAGTCCAGGATTGAGTAAACATGGTGTCTCCTCTCGAAGTAACAAATAGCGAAAACTCCCTCACCGACTCACCATCATTATCATCCTGCACCACCCTCCGAATGGCAAGCGCTCTCCTGGCGGCCACCTCCTGATCCACGACCACCGCACTGCTGCTCTTCCACGGCACAATCCTCGCCGGCACCCTCGCCACCGTCTTACCCTTCTTGTCGTGTAATTTCTCCTCCTTATTGTGACCTTTGTCCGAACACCCGGACGACAAAGACGATGACATCATTGACGGAGACGTTGTCATGCAACGCTTTCGGCCGCGAAATGGCAATAGCAAAAGCAACACAAACGCATGGATCAGCATTGCCAAACTCTTCAGCGCTCGCAGCGACAACAGGGCGTTAACGGGTCCGCTGGCGCCAGACGTTAACATTATCGCTGCTCCAACATTTGCTTTCGTCGTCGGCTCAACCGCCATTTTTGTTCTTGTTCTTCTTCTTCGAANCGATGACATCATTGACGGAGACGTTGTCATGCAACGCTTTCGGCCGCGAAATGGCAATAGCAAAAGCAACACAAACGCATGGATCAGCATTGCCAAACTCTTCAGCGCTCGCAGCGACAACAGGGCGTTAACGGGTCCGCTGGCGCCAGACGTTAACATTATCGCTGCTCCAACATTTGCTTTCATCGTCGGCTCAACCGCCATTTTTGTTCTTGTTCTTCTTCTTCGAATCGATAGCGATGAATTCAATTCTGAAAAATCTCTCCCTAAATGTATTCGCTTCGATTTCGATGTGGGGCTTTTGTTAACATAAAATCGAAAATTTCCAACATTCAGAATGTGGAATTTTTGTGCTGCCAAACAAATCATATACCAGAGAGGTAATAGTCGAGGAGAGTAGAAAAGAAGAAAATGGAGAAACTTTTGGCTAAATTTAACGGTGTTCACAGTTGGAGATCGGATATNATTCGCTTCGATTTCGATGTGGGGCTTTTGTTAACATAAAATCGAAAATTTCCAACATTCAGAATGTGGAATTTTTGTGCTGCCAAACAAATCATAGGTAATAGTCGAGGAGAGTAGAAAAGAAGAAAATGGAGAAACTTTTGGCTAAATTTAACGGTGTTCACAGTTGGATATCGGATACAGGGGGCGTTTTGGGAGAATTATACTTAGGTCCCGAAATTTTTCACATAATCACTCAAATTTTTTGATATTTAAAATATATTATACAAAATCCCCACCGGTAGTAGAAGTAAATATGTTAATAAATTACATTCAGACATTTTAAAATTTGTAGATATACAATACTTAGATCCCTTAAATTTAAAATATTATATTTAGATAAAAAATATTTTAATTAAAGATAAAATATCAAATATTTTAAATTTTACAATTAAAATTCATGTTCTATTATATCATTTATTGACATAAAATTAAAATTAAAAAATTAATTTTTTCTTAATTAGTATACAATTATACTATCTATTAGAATAAAATTAAAATCAAATAAGTGGTTTAAGTGATTCAGAATAGAACATGAACTTTACAATTAAAATTCATGTTCTATTATGTCATTTATTAAAATAAAATAAAAAATAAAGATCTAATTTTTTCTTAAAAAATTATAATTAGTATACAATTATACTATCTATTAGAATAAAATTAAAATCAAATAAGTGGTTTAAGTGATTCAGAATAGAACATGAACTTTACAATTAAAATTCATGTTCTATTATGTCATTTATTAAAATAAAATAAAAAATAAAGATCTAATTTTTTCTTAAAAAATTATAATTAGTATACAATTATACTATCTATTGGAATAAGACTAAAAAATAAACAAGGGGTCAAACTGTAATGAATACAATATCTTTCAACTTTAATTGATGGTAATTTGATAATTTAATTTGACAGTTTAAACGAAAAAATTAAATTTCAATAGATAGTATAATTGTATAATAATGATAATTTTTTTTAAAAAAATTAAATTTTATTTCTGATCTTATTTTAATAATATATCATAAAAGAATATGAATTTTTGTTGTAAAATTTAAAATATTTGATATTTTATCTTTAATTAGAGTATTTTTTTTATATTTAAATATAACATCTAAAGTTTGAGGTGTCTAAATATTACACACTTATAAATTTTAAAGGGTCTAAGTGTCTTGTATTTACAAACTTTAAGGGATTTATATATAATATTTTAAATATTAGAGAAGTTAAATGATTAAGTGATAAACTTTTAAGAGATCTGAGTATAATTCTTCCTATAATTTTTTAGAAAATTACTCTCAATAGCTTTAAGATTGTTAAAACCACACACTAACTACTAAGGTTTGGAAATTATGAAATATCTCAAACCTACATTTTGTGGTGTGACTTGACTACGGAGGCTATTAGTTATACGATTTTGCCCTTCTCTACACAGAATACAAAACTATTTCAATAGGAAGATGTTTTGGCATGAGAATATTTAGGAGGTGTTTGAAATTAAAAATTAATTGAAAATTTTCTAAAACAAATGTTTAATTTTAAAAGCCTTTAACTACTACATTTTGTTGGATTCAAGAAAAAGTCATAATGTTTTTGAAACTAAATGATGGAAGAACTTTACTTTATAAGATAATGTACACATCTTAAAGTACTGTGTTATAAATCTCGTACACCGCATGAATATGTCACAAATAACTGGATAATATTAAAATATTATGCTAGCAAAAGTGCATGAAGTGAAGCAAAATAACATATTTTCAAATTCATATAATTATATTCCCTCATCAAAAACATAATTTTTAAACCCTAATTTCCATAAAATCCAATCCCCAACATTTTGCTTATAATCAAACTTACTAATTCTCAAGAAAAAAACAAACAACAAAAAAAAAAGGAAAAAAATTATTCGCAACAATCAAACACCCAATTGATCTAATATACCATTAGACAAAAACACATAAAAAACCACAACACATGCATAACCAAACAATCAAAACAATGTCTTTCCATCGACATAATAGAAATCAACAAAATAGAGGAGTGGGAGCCATTCCTTGTTCTAGCATCAGCCGCATGCCTCATCGTTGCGAACAGACCCCCATTCTTTGCCTTTACTTTACATCAAAATTTCCAACAGAGTGCTACCTACGGAAACACGACAATTATCAAACTCTTTCACTAACAACACAATAACAATCGATTTCAATTTTGAATCCAAACTCTATCAGATGAATCACAAATTTAGCAAACTCACTTTAACCCAACACTTAGTGCCCTTTACTGCATTTATAGGAAACACATAGTAGAATAATAAACCTAAGTTAACATAAGAGCTTAAAAATGACGGGATTCCAATTTTTTGAGTACATTCACACGTACATCAATATTGTACATAAAAAAAATCAAACTTATTTCCAAGGGTATATTCACACTTAAATTGTTAATCGAATTAGCAACTTCTGGCCAAAAAAATTAAATATAGATTGCTAACCAAAATTAAGCAACTACGTACATCATAGATGAACGGAGTTATATATTTCCCAACCATCAAATTCACATACTTCAACCAAAACCAAAAACAAAAACCCACAAATTCGAAATAAAATTGATGAAAAATTATCCATAATATAGTGGACTCACTGCAAGTCCTGCTATAGAAATATGAACCAACAAACTTCCAAGGTACTTGCAATTTGGGGACTATAAAAGGATTCTAGCAAGCAACTTATGGCATTGTTCTATTCCTTACTATTGATTAGTCCACATTCTTCTCGGAAGACATAAGTAAATATAGAAATATGAACACCAACAACATTGTCATAAAACTGGCTGGCCTGGACAATTTTGTCTTTGAGTAACCTGATTGATCTAGTAGTTTTTTGTTAACAGTAGTCACCAAGGTGTTCAGGTAACCTTCTATGTTTAAATGCTGAATAAATAATTTCCAGCCACCAGCAATGCCCTCGTAAAAAATGAATTAAAACCAAAATTATCAGACAAATCGAACTAAAACAAAGATTATCAGAAAAATCAAATTAAAACAAACTGACAAAACACCCTTTCTTGGCCTCACAAATGCAAGACATAACTCATGAAAAAATCAAAACTTTAACAGAAAAGAAGATAAAGCTTTGATAACGAAAAAAAATCACATTCTTTCCTATTGGAACGACAGTCCCAAGATTTGTTAATGACAATCTCAAGATTATAAAAAGGTTTACTCGTTTATTAATCCTACAAAGCGGAATTATAGTTTACCTTTAACGAGTAGATCCGCACGAATGAAGAACAGATGCAAATCGAACAACATGCTCAATGAACATCACCATCTTCTACCGTATAACTTTCCACTCCAAAAATTTGGATTCAGTGTGGGCTACAATTCTCTGAATTCTTTCCCTTGCTTTATCTCTGCCTTTTTCTAAACGTGAAGGTAAATGTTATAGTTGAGAGACTAGGGAGTGCATTTATTTATGGACTACAGTAAAGATCTTTAGAAGAAATAAGGGTCGAGCTTTCAAAAGGCCTAGGAATCCTATGTCCAACTCAAAACAAACATCTTATGGTCCATTAATAATACATTAATGAGAAATTTAGAGGCCAGACATTATTTGTGGATTTATTTGGTGATAAATCCATCAAAAAAATTTGTTTAATATTAAGTCTATTTTGATCTCCATTGTCCAAAATACTCTTATTAGTTATATTTACTTACAACAAATCGAAAACTAACAACTCCTAAATTTTAGAACTTTGACTAATATTAAAATTCTCTCTCTCTCTTCCTCTCTCTCCCTCTCTCTCTCTCTCATATTTATCTATATCCATATATAGGATAAGACTATTTATTTCTCTTTCCTTCACACACACACATACATATAGTAACATTATAAATAAAAATAGTAACATTTAAACACAAAAAATAGTACCACTTAAACAAAAAAAAGATAGCAATATTCAAAAATAAAAATTAGTAACATTGAATATTAATATTTTAAAAAAATAACAATAGTAACATGGCTAGTAAAAAAAAGTAACATTGAATATTGATATTTCGAAAAAATAGTAACATTCAATATTAATAGTTAATAATAACAAGCTCACAAAAAAAAAAATAGTAAGATACTCAACAAAAAATAGTAATATGCACAACAAGAAAATAGTAACATGGAAAAAAAATAGCAACATGCATAGTAACATTTCATATTAAATTAATTGTAGTCTTCTCAACAAAAAAAAATGAGAGAGAGAGAGCGAAAAATGACAGTGATATAAAATTTAAATTTAAATTTTACATTTTAAGGAAAAAAATCTTCCATCAAGTGTGAATCAAGGATACCTGTTTAGAAAATTGATTTAATGTTAAAGATTACTTTTTAAGTCATTAGAAGGGTATTTTAAAATTTTAAAAAAATAGTGGATTTAACTACTTATAAGTAAAATTAAAAACGGACTTACCCCCAAATAAATTTCTTTACGCGAACTAAACTCATTATAAGTCCCTTAAGGAGGACTCAACCCCAATTTTCACTTAATTAATCCACTAAAAACTTATTTTTGATCTCCTGGGCCTTATCTCAAAATTATATTTCGAGATCCTCATTATTATATGTTGAATAATCTCTCAATGTTTAAAATTACAAATGTTCTCAATTAATTAAATTATTGAAAATTATATTTAATTGACTTTTTTTTATCCTTGAGAT